TATAGTTTTGAATCTGTTAGAACAGCGGCCAGAGTTGATAAACAGTTCGTTGAGCCGATTTTGAGAAATTTCGGGCCTACATAAGGGGGGGGGCGAGTACAAGATACGTCGTGAAAAGATGATATCTTACGCATACAATTTGGTCAGCCATTAAGTCCCGTCCTTACAGATGTTTCACATGGACCAGTCTTTAAAATTTCATCTCTAGGGGGACAGAAGGAAGTCCTCACGAATTTCATCAAGAGGAATCGGGGAAATAAGGGGCACCCTACGGGTAAAGGGTATAAAAAACAAACACATAATACTAACTGAACCCCTACTTAGAGCAGTTTCACTTATAAAGGGGTTGGGTACAACACATGTCATAAGAAGATTATATCTTGCGTATATAATTGGGCCATAACGTCCCCTCTTTTAAGAGCTTTGACATGGATCCTTCTTTCACATTTTATCTCTTGGGGATAAAGTGCACCTACGAAGAAAGGATGTCCTGACGAATTTCGTTGAGAGGAATGATAGAAATAAGAGGCAACCAATGGGTACTGGGTATGAAAAACACACACATTGTTAATCGATTGAACCAATATTGTCTACTAATTGAACCCTTCGAAGAATCAGTATTAAAAGCCTCAATATCTAGAAGGAAATATAATCCAAGAGTAGGAAATGATTAAAGAACATTGGCTAAAAAGCAATCGATAACATTCATTATTTACATAATTGCTTCAGTGAAGGGGTATATAAGACACCAAGACACTATTTGGAAGGATTTGGGAGTTTTTGTTAACCTAGAATATATGTATATGTATATGTATATGTATGTAGATAGATAGATAGATAGATAGATAGATAGATAGATAGATAGACATATATATATATATATATATATATATATATATATATATATATATATATATATATATATATATATATATATATATATAAAATGTATGTATGTGTGTGTGTGTGTGTGTGTGTGTGTGTGTGTGTAAACCAAGCAGAGAAACTTTTGTAAAAATATTTGATGTCTGGACATTTCTTTACACAAAAAGATACAAGTGTCACACTTCCCACAGTAAAATGCTATTAAATGATTGGTCTGTATTAGATTGTGCTCTTTTCCTGACACAGGTTCATTTTGCTAGAGTTTTCTGTTTGGTGATGGAAAAAGAGATTTGCTCTTTTAATTCAATATATAATTTATTCCTGGATCTTTAACTTGCAACTGTTCTTTCACCTTCACACACAAGGAAGTACCAACAATATTCAAAAATAGAAATAGATTTTAATTTAGCCTGAGAATGTAATTGAACATATTATCTCTGTATGATTACTTGAGTTAGAGTGAATATAATGAACATTACTGTTAATATCTGCAGTGCACAGCCCTTAACTTGTTATGATATAGGATGAACTTTGTGTTAATTATGTGTTAGGTTATACCTTATGACTAATTACCATAATTATTTTGTTTTAACGTTGACGTCTTTCTTACAAGAAGACTTAATGGCTGTGTTGGTGGGTATCCAGCAAGTCTTGGAAACTGTATGTGTGTGTCTTGTTCAGAACCACACACTACCACAGCGATACTACCCAGTCACTGTACGAACAGGTGGGAGAGCAAGGTATCCTATTCACTCACTACAACAGCGATACTACCCAATCACTGTAAGAACAGGCGAGAGACCAAAGTATCCTATTCACACACTAACACAGCGATAATACCCAGTCACTGAAAGAACTGGTGGGAGAACAAGGTATCTTCTTTCTCTGAAGATACGCATAATGATCCCTTACCCACAGATTAAACATTTGGAAAGTTCTTCCTCAGTGAAGTCTTGCTTGTTGATAAGCTCTCACAAACAATTGACGAAAATGACTCACACTTTGAATTATAATAAAAGAAATATTCTTTATTTATGGTATGTGTTTATTGTTAGTTTTAGCAGTAAAATTTTCATACATGTCATGAAGAGAGTGGACTGTGATGAATGTGATTCTCTTGTTTTCTGACTCAAGCCTGATGGGTTCATTATAGGTTAATATCACTAAATAACAAGTTATTATGTGCAACAGAGCCTGCTCTCTTGAGGCAGACGGTCTCACCATTGTTTTGCATTGCTAGACTGGTTTCACTGCATTTACATTTCATTTTACAGATATGTTATTTCACGTGAGCAGATATATCAGCTGCGGAAAATGGAATGATCTGGAAAGCAATTGCTGCCCTTCTCAGTGTCAGTGAAAGGATCCTCCGAAAACATAGGTTGAGGACTGGTTTTCCAAAAAATATACATTAACATTTCAGATGATGATTTGGGAAGAATGATCTGCAATATTTTAAGCCTCACACCCGAGTTAGGAAAAACATATGTGCAAGGCAGTTTAAAAAGAAAGCATAAAGTTTGTGGAAATTTTTGTTGACATGTGTTCAAGATTAATGTCTTGCTTGCATAATACTCAAAATTCTGCCCAGACAAGACCTGGCCATCTGTTAAAAGAGCATCACAAGTCAAGATATTAAAGTCCCATCCTCAGGGCACTTTATAGTCTTTATGCACTAAAGACATGTGAAGATACTTCAGTAGTCATCTAAAAGGATAAAAAAAAAACATTGCAACTACTATTACGGCTATCTCCACTTGCAGTAGTCCTGGCAATCGGAGGACATGCAGTAGCAACTACTATTACGGCTATCTCTACTTGCAGTAGTCTTGGCAATCGGAGGACATGCAGTAGCAACTACTATTACGGCTATCTCCACTTGCAGTAGTCTTGGCAATCGGAGGACATGCAGTAGCAACTACTATTACGGCTATCTCCACTTGCAGTAGTCTTGGCAATCGGAGGACATGCAGTAGCAACTACTATTACGGCTATCTCCATTTGCAGTAGTCTTGGCAATCGGAGGACATGCAGTAGCAACTAATATTACGGATATCGCCACTTGCAGTAGTCTTGTCAATCGGAGGACATGCAGTAGCAACTACTATTACGGCTATCTCAGCTTGCAGTAGTCTTGGCAATCGGAGGACATGCAGTAGCAACTACTATTACGGCTATCTCCACTTGCAGTAGTCTTGGCAATCGGAGGACATGCAGTAGCAACTACTATTACGGCTATCTCCACTTGCAGTAGTCTTGGCAATCGGAGGACATGCAGAAGCAACTACTATTACGGCTATCTCCACTTGCAGTAGTCTTGGCAATCGGAGGACATGCAGTAGCAACTACTATTACGTCTATCTCCATTTGCAGTAGTCTTGGCAATCGGAGGACATGCAGTAGCAACTACTATTACGGCTACCTCCACTTGCAGTAGTCTTGGCAATCGGAGGACATGCAGTAGCAACTACTATTACGGCTATCTCCATTTGCAGTAGTCTTGACAATCGGAGGACATGCAGTAGCAACTACTATTACGGCTATCTCCACTTGCAGTAGTCTTGGCAATCGGAGGACATGCAGTAGCAACTACTATTACGGCTATCTCCACTTGCAGTAGTCTTGGCAATCGGAGGACATGCAGAAGCAACTACTATTACGGATATCGCCACTTGCAGTAGTCTTGGCAATCGGAGGACATGCAGTAGCAACTACTATTACGGCTATCTCCACTTGCAGTAGTCTTGGCAATCGGAGGACATGCAGAAGCAACTACTATTAAGGCTATCTCCACTTGCAGTAGTCTTGGCAATCGGAGGACATGCAGTAGCAACTACTATTACGGCTATCTCCACTTGCAGTAGTCTTGGCAATCGGAGGACATGCAGTAGCAACTACTATTACGGCTATCTCCACTTGCAGTAGTCTTGGCAATCGGAGGACATGCAGTAGCAACTACTATTACGGCTATCTCCACTTGCAGTAGTCTTGGCAATCGGAGGACATGCAGAAGCAACTACTATTACGGCTATCTCCACTTGCAGTAGTCTTGGCAATCGGAGGACATGCAGTAGCAACTACTATTACGGCTATCTCCACTTGCAGTAGTCTTGGCAATCGGAGGACATGCAGTAGCAACTACTATTACGGCTATCTCCACTTGCAGTAGTCTTGGCAATCGGAGGACATGCAGTAGCAACTACTATTACGGCTGTCTCAGCTTGCAGTAGTCTTGGCAATCGGAGGACATGCAGTAGCAACTACTATTACGGCTATCTCCACTTGCAGTAGTCTTGGCAATCGGAGGACATGCAGTAGTAACTACTATTACGGCTGTCTCAGCTTGCAGTAGTCTTGGCAATCGGAGGACATGCAGTAGCAACTACTATTACGGCTGTCTCAGCTTGCAGTAGTCTTGGCAATCGGAGGACATGCAGTAGCAACTACTATTACGGCTGTCTCAGCTTGCAGTAGTCTTGGCAATCGGAGGACATGCAGTAGCAACTACTATTACGGCTGTCTCAGCTTGCAGTAGTTAAGGCAGTTGGATGACATGCATTAGCAGTAGTACATGCACAATTAGTAGCAGTAGTGATAGCCTTTTATACAAAACGTTTGGAGTATTTATACAAACAGGTATCAATATTTACGTTAACAGAAAAATGTTATTTACTGTAATTTAATCTTTTGATGTCATGCATGATAGTGAAATATCAGAGGAAATGCGGTCCATAATGCTATATTATATGATATACCTTACAGATTATCTATATATCTTTGCCAAGCAAAGAACCGTAATAATTAATTAGCAGTTTCAAGTAAATTAGGTGAACAATTGAACATGTGCTTATTTGTGTCAGATTTATTCTTTGTATATTAGATTCTGGTGACGTGGATGAGTAACAAAAATATTAGTCTTTTGTGTACAAGAAAACAATATGAACGAATGTTCTAGAAATCGAGTTGCTGATGGACAAACAATTAGACAAAAAAAAATAATCCAATCATAAAGTGAATTAGTTACATGCATCAAGATACATTAAGTGTAATATAGTGATGAAGTATCATAAAGATATCTTCAACAATATTAAAGTGCTGCTACGAAGCAGAATCAGGACCGCTCCGGTGGCCTAGTGGTTGGAGCGTCCGCCGTGAATGCAGGAAGTCGTTAGTTCGAACCTCAACCGAGTCATACCAAAGACTTATAAAAATGGTACTAACAGCTACCTCGCTATGCGCATAGCATTAAGAGGTCAGCCTGGTGTCAGGATAATGTGACTGGGTGGGACATCATGCTACATGTCTGCATCATGATGCACCAGTGCTAGACATCACTTTAAACTTCGCCACTGCAGACATCGTAGCGATATGACTGAAGAAGAGTTAAGCTACGTTAAAAATCCAAACAGCACAAACATGCAAATCAGAATTGTGATTGATGGATGAAAAAAAATGGAGATAAAAAATATTGAAACATGAGAGAACCTTGAATAGCAAAATTCAGATATATAAAAATAGTATAATTCATGTACCAGACTTCAAAGAAATAAATCATTCAAATGGTTTAGAAGTTTGGCCAAAGAACTGAAAATGTAGATAATAAATTGATTGATAGACGCAGAACAATATTACAAAATAACGATTTGTATAGAGTGAGATGGCTAATTTATTCCACTTGTCTATATTGTGTACCATGAAAATATATATAATGGTTGCGGAAGTGTGATTAATTCATTGATGGATGAACAAAAGGATTAAAATGATACTGAGGAATTAGTAACAACATCAAAACGTATCAGATATGTGTACAAAATTGTACATACTTTTTTTTAATAGTTTTGGAGCTTTACCATAGATAGAAACAAGTGTGGAGAATGAAGAAAGAACAAAATTACTGAAACTGAAAGATTGTGAATTGCACAAGACATATATATATATCACTAGTCATATATATATATATATATATATATATATATATATATATATATATATATATATATATATATATATATATATATATATATATATATATATATATATATATATATAAACATATCTTGGATTTAGGAGTTGTGCATCTGCAACGGATCTGAATGAAATAATGAAATAGAAATGGATGAAAACATAAAAAATGAATGATTTTGTACACATATGCCAATAATCTGTTTACCAGTCTACGTAACTCATCAAATGATCGTGACTAGCCACGCCTCTGATATACCAGTCTATCTACACCTTGGTGGATCCATCACATATTTCAGTGCTTTGGGTCTGCGAATTTCTTTGGATGTGGTGGCCACCAAATCCAATCAAAATTAAAATCGGGTTGTTCAAGTTTGAACACTGTTCTTACGTGATTGAGACTATGGTAGAATACAACTGGAATGGACTAATATATAAGTTATTTTCTATTGCCAGTCTGTGTTGTACAAACATTTCCTTCACATATACCAGTAATGGCTTCTCTCTGGTACATAGACTTTCTATGTAAATTTACAAAGTATCATTTTGAAGTCAACTGCCTCCATTTTTTTGGCCGTAGTACAATGCACTACAGTTACACACCGTTGGTTATTTGGCATTACATATTTACGAAGGCAGCTTGTGAAATCCATTAGATTCTGCTAGTACAAAAAGCAGTAAAATTCTGATTGCTCTGCCATGGTGTACATAGGTTAACATATCTGAACCTTGACTAGCGAAAATGTATTCTAGTATGTCTATAGATTTATGTAGAGATACTTGGATGGTTTCAGTGTTTTGCCCAAGATACATAGTGTGGATAATTGAGAAATATGCAAATAAATAGCCACAAAAAAAATTAAAAAGCAAATAAAATTTAAAAGTATTGCAAGTTTTGAAATGTGGGTATCAACAAGCATATCTGCAACAAATAAGTTTACTAAGTTTCAGAAACATATCTCTGATAGTTTTTAAGTTAGAAAGAAAAGTAAGATAGCGGAACTGACTGACAACTGCTTGGAACCGATGATTCTGTCTCTCGCAAATTTTGTTGATTGCGGTGAATTGAATGTTGATAGCAAGATTTAAAATAATTCCTGATATGAGGTAACTGTTTGAAGTATATTATACTCATGCAACACAACTGCATGTATTCTATTTTATTTTAATATCAAACATTACTATAATTTCATCGCATGTATGTCATAAGGTCTTCATTCTAAAATCAATTAAAATATGTTTGCCTGTAAGTACATTATCACAGCCCGATTCTCAGATATGTATAATCCAATTAAGAAAAATGTTTTATGTGAAAACCAACGCACTGCATAAATATATCTCCATGACATTGCATGAAAATTTTCAAACCACTTGCACAGATTTAGACACCACCAATTATATCACATGATTTCGAGTCCGTTACAGTGTAAGACAAAACAATAAATACGTGTTTCATATTGTACTAGTTTTAATATAGTTATAGGTAGGTATTTTACTTACATTATATATATATATATATATATATATATATATATATATATATGTATGTATGTGTGTATGAGTATATATATATATATATATATATATATATATATATATATATATATATATATATATAGATATATATATATATATATATATATAATGATAAGAATATATATAATGTACTAAGGACTTAAAATACTGGGCAAAACTGGCTCAGTTAGATGCACGAATCAGTTTCAGGACTTTATATTTAAAATATTTACGTTGAATGGAAAAATTGCAATGGTCAGTAATAGTGCTTTAGGTCAACCAGATGCACAATTTGTTTTGGCGGGTTGGTGGGCTAAAAGAACAATCTTAACATAACAGTTGTGCTATTCTTTGTGACTTGGATTAAGCAATTAGTTGCAGGTGTTTTCAGTCTGTTTTAATTCAGTGTCATTTTCACATTTTGTTATAATGGTTTTCTCACTAATATCCTATGAAGACAAAATTTGTCATCTGACAAGTTTTTGATGTATGGGGTGTATTAAACATCCAATAGCTATATTTATGCAAGTTGTTTGCATATCTTACTTACAGTGCAATGGGAAACATCGTTTTGGCCTTACCAAAACAAATTGATCACATATGTTTACCTACAGCATTAAACGGAGACCTCCTTTAGTATTAACTACTAAGGTACAACAATTATCACAACTTTAGGAAGGAAATACATCTCTGGCAGAAATTTTTAGAGATAGGGGTCTGCTAAAACCCTCCTCCTTAGCACCCATACCAGTGTTTTTTAACAAAATCGATAAAACTGGCCATTTTACAGGAAAACATGTGTCTATACCTTTCGAAAATCCTACACAATATACGTTGCAAAATCCACCAATCGATTCACTGATGAACAAAACCAGCAAAGCTTCCACGTGAATATCATTTACAAAATTGAAGATTGTTTATATATACGCCAAGCTTTATAGGTAAACATGACAGGCTGTTATGGCCGACTACTGACCATTTTCACAAGCGATATTCTTCATGCAGAGATTAACAAATGAGACAGTGCTGAAACCCTTTATAAGAGACAACCTACCATGAAAGACCATATTCTGATAACAGAAAGGGTTGTGATAACAGAAAGGGTGGTTTCTCAAGACAACTTCCTTTAAAACTTTTGCCAATGGACCATGTATTTTGCCAACCAGAAATACCTGCTCAATACAGGTGGTCTACAATGAGGTCCAACACTATTACAAAGCATATCTTGGTACATCAAATACAAATCTCAAATTATATGTAGTCATAAAAAACAATGCTCTTCCAAGACAGGTTTTATGTATTGTACACTTATAGAAAAATCCACTCAACCTTCTTTCTTTACCAAGCATTTCTTAAGAGAAGTCTGTAAATAATGAAGTTTATCAGGGCTTCAGATTAATGGTGACAAGTTAGCATTCTGCTCGTTACAATTCTGACATACCAGAAAATTGCTAATTCATGGTATAAGTTTAATATTTTCATGTTGGGTGGTTGCGTATTGGAGACACTGCTAAGTTGCCCATCTTCAAGGGCAAAAATGGGGATTATATCGTCTGCTAGTAATCGTATCGGGAAGCATCTATAGGAATAGTTTCGGCTATACTTGGTCATAAACAGGAAAATAACCTGTAGATATCATATTGTTAGCCAATTACATTTAGATGAATGAGTTTACAGTATCATTATGGCTTGGCAAGGACAAATGTGGCGAGGGATTGTCACTCTAAGGAATACAATCCAAGTTTAAGAAAACATATTTCAAAGCGTTATTAACAAATATCTGAATTATATCCGAATAATTATCTTCAAACAAACATTGCGTACACTTCAAAAGTTTAATTGCAACACGCCGTGCGTGCATCCGTTACCTACAGAGACTAATCACTTCGTCCTCAACTGTAGTGAGTCCTGCCGCTCTATGTTTTGAAGACGACCGATTAAATATGCTGTTGATGCTTGGCGCCCTTCAGTCCCCATCTTACAAGGGGAGGTCTATTAAATATGTCAACAATTTTTGGCCAGATTTTTACCACCACCCCTTGTCAACAACTGTCAAACTTTCAGTGACCCCCCCCCCAATAAATTTATGTCAAAAATCCCCACCTGACAAACAATATTTTATACGGATGGCTTTTATGCTAAAAATAGAATTATGCAAATTAAAAGGTCTACACATAAATTTTAATAATTTTTCTTTACTTGTTTAGGATTAAACTGTTGGGCTGTTAAATGGCGAACATGTGCCATACCAACGCATCGACTAATTTCCTGTTTTTTGCTTTTTAAATTTATTGTAAAAAAAAAATAATTATGTCTAGCACTGGGGAATTATGCCGCAAACTTGTAACATGATGTCCCACATAGTCTTTGGTATGACTCGATCGGGGATCGAACCCATGACCTCGTCATGATGGACACTTGGATTAAATGAGAGCACAACACAATGTGATAACAAAATGGAAGTTTATTAAATGAATTGATAAAAATATGTATATCATCTTTAACATATAAAGTGTGATTCTCTCGCGCTCCAAACACATGACTCATTCAATTACTTAACATTCACAGATGGAAAAACAAAAATGTAATTCGTATGTTCAAGAATGAAGGTAAGATTAAAATAATCTCATGTAATGAAAGTGATGAAAGTAAGATTCAAATAATCTCACATAATGAAAGAAAGATTCAAATAATCTCATGCAATGAAAGTAATAC